ATCTACTTGTTTTAGAGATAAAGTAGTAAAAAGGAAAATAACCCCTCCCCCATCTCTTTAGGGCTAACATTTTCAGTTGAAAAGACAGACCATAAACATATACAGACCTAATTTATCCACCAAATAAATAAAATATTTACAGAATGGCTAATATCTGATCAACATATTTGCAGGCACTGGGAAGAATATCTCTAGATAGTGAACAAAATAGAAAGCATACCTGTGCCCCTGAAGGCTGTATTCTAATCGAGGAGACGGATAGATCATTAATAAACCAGAAAGGCATGATACACAGTGGTAACTGCTAAGGAGAAAATATAAAGCATTGGTGGAAGATATGCAATGACTAATAGGAGGTATTGAAATTGTAGGTTTATTAGCAGAGCAAGCATCTTTTAAAAAGTATTTTTGGGGTTAAAAACCTGAAAGGTGAAGTCATAGTCATGTAGCTCTCTGGGGAAGAACATGCGAACAGCAAGCATGAATGTCCTAAAGCCAGGGAATGCTATACTCCTTTGAAGGACAGTTTGCCTAAGGTAGAATAAACCAGTAAGAAAGGACGAGCAGATTGTATCAGAGATGGAAGATCATGTGGGTCTGAACTTTTGGACTCTCGGTGCCACCATTCACACAGATGGTTTCACGCTGTACTTTTCAATGTCATAGCAAAGGCTTTGAGTTACTCTGAATCAAGTGGGAAGTGGTAATTCAGAGTTATGTAAGGAGATGTCCTATTATATAAGAACATGTCCTACTGTTAGGCTCAATGCCAGGATGACCACCAAGAACACCATCTTCCTGTGTACATCAAACATCTCAACCATTTGTCATTACTTGTGTTGGGGACATTCAAAATCCATTTTTTTAAGAGTTTTTTTATCGCATGAAAGTGTGAGACAGGAAAGACTTTAAAATGGTCCAACTTCATGATCCCCATCCCTCCAACCCCAGTCTTTCCAGCCAGCTAGTATCATGAGTGTGTGCTTGGTATGTAAAAGTCAACCTGGGAACCGAACTGATTGCCTTCCAAATTACCCTGGCACTGTGAATATGATGTGCTTGCCTTCCACTATTCAGCTATATCATATGGCATAGCTGACTTTAAGAAAGATCATCTGTGCAGCCCTGACCTAACCATAGGTTGTTTGAAAGTAGAGTGACCTCTAGTTGGTAACAACAGAAGGTTATAGACTCAGAGCTCAGGAAGATTTGAAATGCTTCTGCTAGCTTGAAGATGGAGGGAACATGTGTCAAGGAATGCAAGCACCCTCCAGGTGAAGTGAGTAGCTGGGACTTTGGACCAGCATAGATGTGGAAAACTTAGTCCTATAGTCATAAGGAGCTGAATTTTCCTAACCTCCAGAAGATTGTGCTTGTATACATTTTTCTCCAGAGATTTTAGTCAAGAACTCAGTCCAGATGACACCTTCGGGAAAGTCATAGGACATCCTGCACAGAGAAGCTGATGATACTCAAACAGACTTCTCACTACAGAAGTGTGAGCTAAGAAGTGGGTGTTCTATTACACGAATATTGCAGTAACTTTTTAGACATCAACAGAAAACTAATATACTATCTTAACCTTTGCTATTCTAAATACTCTTAATGTTAAAATTCCTGAAATTTTATCACTGGTAATATTACTAAACTTAATTGGGTAAGCTTTGTCACATAAGTGCAATTCAAAGGGTTTAGAGGATAACTGATAGAAAATCTCAATTTTATATGTAGAATATGGGATCAGTATACATCTCAAAAGTGAATGTATGAGAGGTAGACATCTAAAGATTGCTTTACCACCTTCTGGAATGAATAAAAGGCGATACTACTTTAATGTTATACTCTACTTGCCAGTCTTCAGAGGAGTATGCTCTTCTTTATCTAAAGAAGGTTTACTTCTTATACACATAAAGAAACTAAAGTTAAACAATTAATCTTCTATTTCTGATTGTGTCATCCAATGTGACATTAAACAAATCATTGTGTTTAACCTTATTTTGAAAACTAGTATGAAAATGAATTTGTATCATTCAAAAGCTATTCTAAATATTAGAGAAGAAAATACACAGCTAAGTGCATTGAAAATTACTTCAATTATTCAAAGCTATTTTAAATATTAAAGAAGAAAATATATAAGTTAAGTGCTTTGAAAGTGACATTACCATATTTTTTACTATATGAAAATATCCTTAAGTAATGTTTTACAGAAGAAAAATTTAATGAAAACCTTCAGCAATATATTTCTCATTAAAATTATAGCCACCAGAATAATGTCTTTCTGATATTCTTAGTTCGATAACATTAATTTCCTTTGGTCTTACAATGGTTACAAAACAGAGCACTGATTCTTCAAAGTCTTGTCTGTTCAATTTTATACCCACACTTCCAGCAATTCCTAGATAACTGCCACCATTATTTTTTATTGCATTATCACAACAAAGTTAGAAGAACTTTCCAGGTACCTAACTTCACTTCTCAATTTCTATACTTTCTAAATTGATGTCTATAGAAAATGTTGAACAAGTACGTGTCTACTAGTGAAACTTGTATCTAGTTGTTGGCTATGTAGAAATGGGTTACCTAGACCACTTAGACTAACAAAAACACAGTATCATAACACGTTCTAAATCCTCTTCTCCTTGCATTTTTCATTGATAAACTCAGGCAGCATTCTTTGAGGGAACTTTCACTGACAACAAAGGCTCAATTACATGCCTTTCATATAAGGTCCCATTCTACAAAAACATCATTTCTTAAAAATTAAAACAGAATTGGGGCCATCAGGTGACATAATATTTACATTGCTGGACTCCCTCATGGCCAACCATGGTTTGAGTCCTGGACTTGGTGTCTTGAAAATCACTCCAGGGATGTGGGCAGACATGCTCAAGATGTCAGGAGGAGAATGGAGAAGAAGGGATTATGGCATGGCTATCCTCTCTGGAGGTTGTTTTCTCATTTTTCCTCTCACTGTCTCTCTCCTTCCCTGATCTCTCTCTGCCTGCCTCTCTTTCTCTGGCAAGTACATGTGTCCTATGGCCAAAACCTCTTTAAGATAATTAGATTGGGAACCAGCAGTTAACGTAATGGGTATGTCACTGGACTCCCATGTAATCGACCATGGTTCGTGTCCCGGATCCAGTGGTTTAAAACTCACGCTGGGTGTGTGTGCGTGCGTGCCCAAGATCCCGAGAGGAGAATGGAGGAGAAGGGATTGCGGCTTGACCATCCCCCCTAGGGGGTGATTTCTCGCTTTCTGTCTCTATGTCTCTGTCTGTCTGTCTGGCGAGCACACGTGCCCTATAGTGAAAATCTCTCCCCCCCAAAAAAAAGATAATTAGATTAATGTCCTCTAGGGATTTTCTTCACCCTTTTCTCCAGATTCCAAGTGCTTCTGCTTTTGATCAGTTTGATTTATAGGAGCCAATTTTTAGGAAATAACTATGATAATTAATATGTAAGTGGATCAAATGTTGACATATTTCATGGTAATAGCCTAAATGCAGTAGTTTTGTAAATTTTGTCATTCATTTTAAGAGCATTCTCAAAGGACTAACTTCCTGACAACTTAAAAAAGTAGTTCCTTGCCGAAGGCAATAGAGTTCCACATATGCAGCACTTATCGTTAGTGAAACAAACACTTAAAAAAGAAAGTTAAGACCAGCAGGTGGTATGGTGGTTAAAACTCTGGAGCCCACATGTCTGACTTTGTAGCTTGAGTCCCCAACCAGCAGCATGAAATACATGCTCAGAGCATATACATGAGTGCTTAAAATCCCAAGAGGAGAATGGAGGAGAAGGGTTTACAGCATGATCATCCCACATGAGAAATAGTGTCTCACTTTACTTCTCTTTCTGTCTCTGTCTCTCGCTAGTTAGTGCATGCATCCTATGATGAAAATATAAAAGAAAAAAATTGGAAACACAACTGGAAGTATAAAACAATAGCAACCAAGACAATGCAGGCACTCTGGAAACGTAGGAACAGAAATTGTGTTCAAATACTATCTATCATAGCCTGGGACTTTAGAGTTGATAACAGGACCATAAACTGAGTTAGAAAGATATAATTATCAAAGGGGTACAACTAATAAAGATCTTCTCAGGACAGTCCAAGGAGTAGCCATCTACAGTATGGAAAACATCCTATTGGGTACCCAGTGTCAGAATCTATTAAGCCAATATCTAATGCTAAGGCAGACCTCTGGGCATCAGAAAACAAGAATGACAATTTGGCTTATCCATTCCTACATGTATTCAAAGACTGTTGAACTCCAATTGTCATATAATTCAGCTAAAAGGGCAGTAGAAGAAATCTATTAAGAATAAAGTTTCTAATAACGCAACAGAGTTGTCACCTGCTTGGAAACAGCCAAAGACAACATGACTTCAAGTGCAATAATGGTAAAAGATGCGATAACATGACATAATGCTCTCACTGTTAAGATATGAGGCTGGTAAATAATCACTGCAGTGGTGTCAATATACTTTTAATATAGTGTGAAAAGAACTGCCGGACATTCTTTCTGTCCTCTTGGTTGCATAAGATTATGGGTACAGCCCCTTATTAAGAGATTTATACAAAGCACACAGACACGGGTTGCACACAGAGACATGCATACATTCACATACAATGCTTATAGATATGGAAAATATATTTATGAGGGTGGAAAAAACAGCCATGACACATACAAAATGCAAGATAAAGTAAGTTTAATAAAGTGAATTTTCACATAAACAATTTGGAAGGGAGTTACAGCAAAATTTGTATTCAAAAGGAGAATTGTTACCTAAACTATCAATCTTCCCAGAATCAAAAATGCAAGTACAGATGATTTTTTTCAAGTCAGTCCAGGCATGTCAAAATTTAAAATTCTATCACAACACTGGAGAATTGGCTAATGATCATTTAATCTGAGAGGGACACTGATGGAATGATGTGTTCAGAAGTAGAATCAGCAAGGGGAAAACGAGCTGAACATCTCGTCTTGTGCAGTTTCTCAGTAGAAGCCAGATGGCCAATATCTTCTGTAGTAATAGGGGCGGTAACAGCCGTATCCGTACCCTCCATAGCCATAACCACAGCCAAGACCTTGGAAGCAGCCAGAGCCACAGCCCAGGCCTCCAAGTCCATAGCCCAGACTGCCGTAGTAGTTTCCGTAGCAGTAGCTCATGGTGTCAAGAGTTGAAGGCTTCGTTGAGAGCGAAGTGTTTGCTTGTAGAATATGAATTTCTCTGCTTCTGCAAGGCCTTTTATACACCTTCTGTAGGTGTTGCAAACCACAAATAATCATAGCCTTGCAATTTGTCAACTGATATGTATGAAAAACATCTCATCTCATTAACATTTTGTTCATTTGGAGGAGAGGTTTTCACACCCACTAATTTTGAAATTCCTTTACTACTGCCTCTATATTCTTTAAAATATATCACATGCCTTAAACAACGTTTTAAAAAATTTACTGCTGTCCCTGATCTCTGTAGTCTAGTTACATAAGTTTGCATTGCGAGGAAGCCAAACATAGTATATAAGCTTGCATTACAATGATAGCGTCATTCCTCAGAGATTTAAACCACTGTCACAGAGATTTGAGGTTGTGGTGAGCAGGATTCAGAGATTTCCTTGTTTTATTGCCAACATTCTCTTGATTTTTTTCCCTAGTGTCCAGAAGAATACCGTTTATGTGTTTTACCCTAGGTTTTTGATAGGATCAGTTTGGTATTTGATTTTAAAGAATGTTTTTAGGTAATTAAAAATATCATCATTTCATTGGTGCATACTTATATTTGGTTAAGTTTTTTTTTTTTTTTTCTTGAGAGGTTTTTGCTATAGGACACATGTGCTCACCAGAAAGAGAGACAGAAAGCAAAATATCACCCCTCAACCCCCCAGGTGGGTGGCCATGCCGCAATCCCTTCTCCTTCATTCTCCTCTAAGGATCTTGGGCAAGCACGCACACGTGCCTGGCGTGAGTTTAAGCCACTGGGTCCAGGACTCGAACTGTGGTCGACTACATGGGAGTCCAGTGACATAGTAGTCATTACACCACCTCTGGGCCCTGGGTTAAGTTTTTTTTTTTTTTTTTTTTTTTTTTTTTAATGCATCAACACTTTTTAAGCATGAGATACCTGAAATGTGTTCTCGTCAGTAAAAAATAAGGATGTATATATAATTATGTTGTGTTTGTGGCACCTGCTTGTGCTGTATTTAGCATAAAAGATATATACTTGAGGTGCATACAGGAAATTAGTATACCGAGATTTGTTTTAAATCTAGCACCTATCTTTATAACTAATGACTCCTCATACCCTCTCTTTATTTATATTCAGAATACTTGCTAATAATTTCCCAGGTTCAAGAAAAGACACATTAGGGACCAGCAGTTAGCGTAATGGCTATGTCGCTGGATTCCCATGTAGTCGACTGTGGTTCGCATCCTGGACCTGGTGTCTTAAACTCATACTGGGCGCATATGCATGCGTGCCCAAGATCCCCCAGAGGAGAACGGAGGAGAAGGGAGTGTGGCATGGCCATCCCCCCTGGGGGGTGATTTCTCACTTTCTCTCTCTCTGTCTCTGTGTGTCTGGCGAGCGCACGCACCCTATAGCAAAAGCCTCTTCAAGAAAGAAAAGACACATTATAAAATATTTAACCAACACTGCAAAGATTATGTAAAATAGCAATAATACAATGTAAATAGTCCATTTTTTCTCTTCCTGGGATCTTGGGCACACATGCTCATACCCCTAGTATGATTTTCAAGCCACTTGGTCAGGACTCTAACCACAACTGGCCAGGTGAAAGTCCAGTGATGTAACTGCTCCTCCATCTGTTGGTCCCTACAGTGCTACTTTTGTTAATATGTTTTCATCTCTATCTCGTCATTGATGGTGGTACAAGATATGGTAGGGAAACTCTGTTTACCCAGAAAAGGATCAGAATATTTCTAAAAATAAAAGTTTTAAAGGCAAAACACATTGATTTTCTATGTATGGAAAATTTTTAACCATCTGATTTTTTTCTTACTTTTAAAAAAATTTTATTTATTTACTTTTATTTGACCAGAGAGGGACAGAATGGGAGAGAGAGAAAGAGAGAAAGTGAGAAAGCAAGCCACGAAGTCCAGAACTCGAACCAAAGCTGATCATGTAGGAGCCCAGCACCCTTAACCATCATGCCACCTGCCTGCCCCAAACATCTGATTTTTTAAATATTAAAATAGATTGTTTACTTGACACAGCCCCCATGGTGATAATAATTTAAATTGATAAAGCATAAATTTTTATTATTAAATAACTCCGTGAAAATTTTGCTACAAGAAAGCTGTCATTAGCTACTTCTATAGATGATTGCTTAGTTTAGAGTCCTTGATAAATACCTCTATTTTCTCTTTCATAGATCTTAGGATCAGTACAAAATCCATGCATATATTTTGCCAATGAACACTGAAATAAGGCAAGAATTTCTATAATTACCACTGTTATTGATCATCTTTCTATAGAGGGTGTTAATGCACCTGCAAAAGAAAATAAACCAAGAGATGACATAGTAGAATATAAATATTTATAAAATGACTGGCGTTCTCATACACTTGAAAGACATAAGAAAATTACACCAAATGCCAGTGAGGATAACAGAGTAACATTATATGGATAGTTTAAATAACATGACAAGGCTAAAGACTTTCTTGCAATACTAATGAAAGCCCTTTAAAAATATAATTGAATGACAACTGGTTCCAATTTATATAATAATGTCAAATAAACAAATAAATTTAACAAGAAACATGCATAAAATTTATGAAGAAACTTTATGGAAGAACATAGAGGACTAAAAAAAACAAGTTATGACATTCATCTTACTGTACAGTAAGATAATATATAGATATGATTGCAATACTTCCCGTTTGATAACATAAATGTAATTGGATTTCAACAAATACCTTAATGTGTTCTTGGAAATTAAAAAAAAATAACATAACATTTATCTGAAAAAAAAGATAATTTTCCACATGAGATATTAAAATATAGGAAAATGAAACAGCATGTTACCATTGCTAGAATTAACAGTTTATTGAAATACAATAAAAAGTCCAATTTGTCATTATGTTTGCTTATGGTCTAGCATTTTATGTAGGAATTTTCCAAACACACAGAAGGGGATTAAATTTTTCTGCTATATCTTTTTCATTTTAAGTACAAGAATAACACTAACCTTTGTAAAATGTATTTACACATTAGTAGATATGTTCTTTGCAAATTAGAAAAATTACCTTGGAAAGATTTATTAGAAATATGTTTACTTCATAATTACTGCCTAATTAAATTGTGTGTTTTATTTCTTGAAAAAGTTAAGATAATTTAATATGTTGGAGTAAAGTATGACTTTTATTTAGAGATTTACAGTTTCTTAGCACATGGCATGTATGATGTTATGTTACAATTGTGAGAAAACAACCTTCTATAGCCATTGTGATATATTCTTGCTCACATTTAATTTGATCACACATGCATTACAGATTTTAATTTTCATTATTTCTCTGAAGAACAGACTAATTTATCAAGTCTGTTCTTTTTCTGTATTGTAACTTTTTGATGTTAATTCTCTTAAATAATTTATTTCTAATATTTCCCTTTCAATTATTTCCAACTTTAGCATTCTAAGCTCTATATTTTGACTCAAAGTTGTCACTAGCTGTTGTGAATTATTAATTGTAATCTTATCTGAGGATTAGCAGATGTTGTAATGGTTATGTCACTGGACTCCCACATAGTCAACTATGATTTGAGTCCCAGACCCAGTGGCTTAAAACTCATGCCGGACACATGTATGCGTGTGTCCAAGATCCCCAGAGGAGAATGAGGGAGAAAGGATTGCAGCACGGACTTTCCCACTGGGTGGGTGGGGGCTGTGATTTTCTGCTTTCTGTCGGTCCAGCGCACACACACTATAGCAAAAATCTCTCTCTCAAAAATTGTATTCTTATCTGTAATTATTACAACTAGAACTGTAATGCCCCTCATTCATACTGTATTCTATAAGACTTTTATTGCATTTGTTTTCCTATTCTTTTCTATCTTTGGTCATCTTTTTTTTTTTTTCCTCTTTTTAGACTCTTTTTTTGTGTTTAAAGCAAATATTCACTACTGACACCTAGTGGCTGTATGATCCAATGCATGAAGTAATTGTATTGATACTATTTACAATAATTATTATTGATTTAAAAAAGTAATAAAGTAATGCTTTAGGCAGTATAACAAAATTATAGAGGTTGCATTTATTCAGTGATCCAGATCATTGAAAATTATGGATATTCTTAGAAAATATATGCACACAATGTTTCAAATATAATCTTAAGAAATGTGGGCACCTAGAATTTCAAAGCACACTAAGTTAGTAAAACTAAGTTAGGGACTTTCACAAGATACTAGCAAATGGAATCCAACAGTATATAAAGATTATACACCATTACCAAATAGACTTATGCCAGGGATGCAAGGATGGTTCAGCACATGCAAAACAATAAAGGCAGCACATCACATTAACAGAAGAAAAGATAAAAAATATGTGATCATATCAATAGATGCAGAAAAACATTTTATAAAATATTTTTCTTCATGACTAAGATTATCAACGGAAAAGGTATATAACGTACATTTCTCAAGATAGTAATAGCCATCAATTACAAATTCATAGCTAATATCATACTCAATAGGGGAAAATGAAAAGTTTTTACTCTAAAAACTAGAAAAAGACAAGGTTGTCCACTTTCTCCACTCCTTATCAGTATATTTGGAAGTCCTAGCCAATGCAATTAGACAAGAAATAAAATAAAAGGCATTCAAATAGGAAAGGAAAAAGTTAAGCTGTCCCTATTTTCAGATGACATGATTATATACAAAAAAAAAATGCAAAAGAATCAATGAAAAAAACTTCTAGAAGCCATAAATGAATTTAGTAAAATTATAGGCTATAAAATCAGTTTATAAAATTAAATAACTTTTAACGCACCAACAATGAATGGACTGAGGTAGAATTGAAGGAAGCAATCCCACTTACAACCCACAAATTAAAAAAAAAAATTAAAAAAAAAACCTTTACAAATAAATCTAACCAAAGAAGTGAAAGACCTCTACAAGGAAAAAAAACTGAAGAAAGAAATTGAAAATGATG